AACATACTTTTGATCTACGGTGTTGGACACCGGGTTACTTTGATCACAAGACTTAAACAATGGTTGTTAATTGAAATGTCTTGCTTATATGTTCTATAAAATTGCATGTTTTACATATGATTAGACAAATTGACGATACCGCCAAAATAGCTAAGACAATTGAGTCGTATCTAACCAACTTGTGGCATTGTCTTCTTGGCGACATTAACATCGAACGCCCCAAGAAACTTCTTCATGAGGGTATTCTTGACTCATTCGACTTGGAGTAATTTGAAAATTGCGAAGGATGTCTGTTAGGCAAGATGATAAAGCAGTCATTCTCCAAGTTGGGAGAAAAGGCTAGTGAATTATTAGGTCTAATACATACGGATGTATGTGGACCAATGAGTTCACCTACAAGGAATGGTTGTCGCTATTTCATAACCTTCACGGACGACCAAAGTAGATATGGTTATGTCTACCTTATGTCGAAAAAATCTGAATCTTTTGAGATATTCAAAGATTTTCAGAGTGAAGTTGAAAATCAGCTTGGAAAGAAAATCAAAGCACTTCTATCGGATCGAGGTGGCGATTATTTGAGCCACAAATTCGACAATCACTTGAAAGAAAATGGTATTCATTCAGAGTTGACACCTCCCGGCTCCACAATGGAATGGAGTGTCCGAACGGAGGAATCAAACCCTGTTAGACATGGTTCGATCAATGATGGGTCTTAGTGAACATCCTATCTCTTTTTGGGGACACGCACTTCTAACTGCGACACTAACTCTGAACCGTGCTCCGTCAAAAGCTGTTGAAAAGACTCCATATGAATTATGGATGAAAGAAACCTCCACGGTTGTCTTTTCTTAAGATTTGGGGTTGCGAAACATATGTCAAGAGATAAATTTCTAACAAACTTCACTCAAAATTTGATAATTGTTTTTTTGTGGGCTACCCAAAAGAAACCAAGGGGTATTACTTCTACATGAAATCCGAGAACAAAGTGTTTGTTGCTCGTGATGGTGTCTTTTTAGAGAAGGAACTCCTATCCAAAATGACAAGTGGGAGGAAAACCAAACTCGACGAAGTTCGAGAGGACGAGCAACAAAGTCAACCTGACAAAACTGACAATCAAAGTGCTTTAGAAGCAACTAATGACATTTGTCAGAGTCAAACCGACAATGCAAATGCTCAACCTACTACCATGCGTAGGTTGCAACGGCCAAGATCAAGACATCCTAGTTATGGATGGTGATGAGCCAGTGACATACAAACAAGCTATGACGAGCCCCGACTTTGCAAAATGGCAAGAAGCATGAAATCCAAGATGGAATCCATGTCTGAAAATCAAGTCTAAGACTTGGTTGATTTGCCCGAAGGTTTCAAACCTATTGGTTGCAAATGGATTTTCAAGTTGAAAACAGACAAAGATGGAAATGTATCTATATACAAAGCTAGACTGGTGGCAAAAGGTTATAGGCAAATTCACACCGTTGATTATTGGTAGGCGGTCGCACACCTAGCAAAAATAACCTAACTAACCACTACTATGTAGACTGGCAAGTAAGGGTCGAATCCTAAGAGACTATGGTTCACCAATAACTATTTAGACTCAAGTAATTACTAAGCAGAATTCAACAATGATCGATTAACTAAAGAACTAATGTATGAAAAATTCGAAAATAAACTAAAGAATATGAAGAAATCAATTAATTAAAACATCCAAGATCAAGTATCACCACAATTACGAATAATGCAATTATATTTCTACCCCTAACATACAATTCCAATTGAATGGGGAAAAGTAAACCCTAATCAATACCAAGGACCTCTCTCGAGTATCAATGGCTTCTCTGACATACAATCAAGCCTATTCTCATGGTATCATGCATATTAGAGACATTAAACACATTAATCTCACTTCCCAATCATCAACCCAACTATTCTCATGTTGAAAATACAACCCTAAATTGATCTACTCAAATCCGTTTAAATCCAACTCACGTTGTGATAGAAACAATGGAATAATCACAATACTAAGATTACGTCTAACCTAGTATTGGCATAATCACAATCAAATTAGCATAGCAATTGTAAAATTCATTAGAGAATTTAAAGTTTTAATTCATGCATCAATCATAATTGGGCTACCCTAGATCTTGGAATAGGAAATCTACTCACTCATAATGAAATAAACAATAGCAATCATAATTATAGAAAACATAATTGAAAAGCAAAAATAATTGAAAAAAAATGAAATAGAAATAAATACCAAAGATTCTTCAATTGAAAGGAATTAAATTATTGAAGATCAATGCTCAAATCTAATGGAAAGAATTACAATTGCTTCAAAATATAAAACTAGAACTCTAGAGAGAGAAAGAGGACTAAAGGAAAAATTAAAACTCCTTTCTAATGAAGATTACAAGGGGTATTTATACCCTTAATGACCTAAAAATAAGAAAATAATAATATGGAGTGTCTCATAACTGTGCCTGGTCCAACCGGGCAAGCACCTCCCGATCGGGCGGTGAGAGTACGGAGTTGCTTTCCTTCGTAGCACTTCTTCCACCACGTGCCCGGTCTAAGCGGGCAGACCTTGCCCGATCAGGAGCGTGGGGCGGTCATCATAAATTGCTTACTACCTTCGAAAATACCAAAAATCATCTAACTCCTATGTGCCCGGTCCAACCGGGCGGACCATGCCCTATCGGGCACGTAGAGGCTGCAGCAAATAGTTTGTATTTAACTCGTCTTAAATCAGTCATAACTTCATATCCGGAGCTCCGTTTGAGGCGTGTAATATATCGTTGGAAAGGACTTCACGTCTACTTTCCAATGCAATTTGAATCACTCCATTATAATTTGTATATGAAATGTTATGAGCATAATAGGGAACAGGTGTCATATTTGTCAAGTATTTCATCAACGTTTTGCTTCATTTTCACTCCAGTTCGTCTTGAACACATGTTTTGATATTCTTAAGCAACATGTTTTCATACTCCATGATTATTATACTCAAGATTAGCTAACCATACTCCATTTGCATATAAATCACCTGAAATTCATCAAAACACACAAATGAAGAGTAGTAGAGCACAACTTAAGCAAATAATGCAAATTTGCACTAAATATCTCTAATTTTGTAATCAAATGAGCTTTGATACCCACCTAAAACATGTGCAAAATAGGACCTATCAAATTCCCCGAAGCTAAACTCTTGCTTTTCCTCAAGCAAGACAATCAACGATAATCAACAACCAAACAACATACTTCACCCCAAAATGCAAATATAGAACACGACTCAAAATCGAAATCAAACAAGCATGCATCCTAGACAACCAATCAACTTACTCAAACGGTTGATCCACCTAATCAATCGTCAAACGAGACCAACCATGTATATTTCAAGAATCGATGACTAGAGTATCTCACATCGGTGGTCACTCAACACACTTTTTATGTTGCGAGCTAAGAATGAGCTCGATCTCTGACCATCCCCACCAACAATGTAATCCCCCCATCTCACAACACTCGCGTGTTTAGAGGGTTATAATATCGCTCAACCTGGTCAATGTCGACTCAAAATGCAACATATACTCCAGCATTTTGACAAAAGACTCGTTTCACATGAACACAACGCTATGCACGAAGATCGGAAGGACTTATGAAGCTTGTAACGTAGGCCGGGAATAAGAATGGGTAGGAATAATTTGGGAAATGTGGGCTATATTAGTCTAATTGGGGAGCTATCCAATGCAATGAGTCACACCTCGATTCACCATTTTTCAATCAACAAAACACAAACCCAACTACAATAAAAGCACCCATTACTTCTTCATATTTCTTTCTAACTTCAAGCTTCCTTTTATTCAATTTTTTTTTTCTTTTCATCAACATTTTTTTTCTCTTTTTCTTTCTTTTTTTTTCCAAGAACAAAGACATTTTCTTTCATTTTAAGTACAAGATTTTCTTTCCTTGTTCTTTGATTTATTCTCTTTTTTTCAACAAACCTCCATGCTAGTCTTCCTTCTTTCTCTCTTTTTTTTCACATGCCTCTCATCAATTGCAACTTGAAATTAAAATCACACAAAATACTGCATAATATAGCTCCCCCAAGCTAGACTTGGGAAAAGTAACCAAATTGGGGCCAAGGGGTAATTTTTTGTGAAGTTTATGAAAAATATAGTCAAGCTACAACATGGGTAAGCAAGAAGGGAACTGATGTTTTAATTTTGTCTGGAGGCTACCTAATGAACATGGTCTTCGTCATTTCAACGTGCACGTGCAATGCATTACGACACACTACTAAGAGTCTAAAGTCAAAACTAAGATCAATGCTACACCAGGAACTAAACACACACAAGAATGAATATATAAAGCTCAAGCCTTACGGTTAACACAGTCAAGCTCCTGAATCATACATGGTTAAATAACTTTGACTCCTGTTAGGGATCAACAAATTCAAGGTCAAATCATGATCTTTTAGTCTACAATGCAAGCCTTTCAATCAACATTGAAACAGAACCTTTTTATCATTAAGGGTAGGGGCACAGGGAAGTAGTTCAATGGTCATTAATTGTCATGATTCTTGTATTTTCAAGTTTTTTTTTCTGAAATACTAATCAAAGCAATTAAAACTAACCTATGAAAGCAAATAAAACACACCAAAAGCAATAAAATCAAACAAACCAAAGCAATGAAAACTCAGAGAACATACCTAAGCTACTATGCACAAACTTCCCCCAAGCTACACTTGGAAATGTCCTCATTGCAGCAAGTGGGGAGTAGGAAATACTGGAGTTCTCACTCGAACTCAAGCTCAGTACCATCATCATCATCATCGTCAACACCATCATCGACAATACTTGCTGTTGTTCGCGCCCAATCGGGTTGGTTATTCCCGGTCTGATCGGGCGGAGAGGATTTCCCAATCTTCACTTGATTCTTCCAACGTTATTGCTCGCGCCCGATCGGGCTGGCCTTGCCCGGTCTGACCGGGCAGCGAGCAAAACGCCTTATTTTCCACTTTTGATGGAATCTCTCAGTATCTCGCTCCTCCTATATACCGATGTTCTCTGAAAAATAGCAAACACAACACAAAAATGACATATAGACACTAAGGGAGATAAAACTAAAAAAATAAATAAATAGAAAAAAAATTGAAAAAATTAAACAAAAAGCGGGTTGCCTCCCGAAAAGCGCTTGTTTTTCAAGGTCTTTATCATGACCATATTGATACTCATTGGCTCAACCGGGATCACCACACGGAAGAGGAACTCCGCAATGTCGCCCATGGGAATGATTGCCTCCAAGTGACTCCTTCATTTTATAATTATCCTGCCTCGTATCCGAACTTACCTTCATGCGGCCAAACACATCATATGGTGGAATTTTGTCCTTGCTTCTCACGAAATTTCTATCAAATACATACTTATCAACAAAAGGGTTAGTAGCATCGATTCTTAAGCAAGTACCACCATTAAATTTAGATTTATGTTCATCAAAGAGCTTGAATATGACTTGTTTATCCTGGGCCCTAATGGTCACTTGTCCTTTAGGAACATCTATTAGAGCTTGACTTGTGGCAAGGAATGGACGACCAAATATAATCGGGATCTTATGGTCTACTTTCATGTCCATAACAACAAAATCAATAGGAAAAATAAGTTCATCAACCTTAATTAATACATCTTCAACCACACCCTTAGGGAGTCTAGAGGTTCTATCAGCCATTTGAAGAGAAATAGGGGAAGGTTTAAGTCCTTGCAAACCTAAATTCTCATACAATGAATAAGGCATTAAGTTAACACTAGCACCTAAGTCGCACAAAACCTTATCGAAAAATTTCTCGTTTATCGTGCAGGGAATAGTGAAACTACCAGGATCATGCAGCTTAGGTGGTAGGTTATCATATAAGAGAGTAGGGCCCTTCTTATGTGCTACTTCCTTATCCTCATGTTGATCTTTAATATTCTTTACAAAATTTGCAAATTGAGGCATTTGAACTAAAAGATCAGAATAGGGAGTAGAAGCGTGTACCTTCTTGAGGGCATCACAATATTTTCCAAAATGTCTATCGAGCACGGCTTTTGACAACCGTTGCGGGAAAGGCATCGGTTCCTCATAAGCCTGTGGAGCTACATATTTTTATCTTTGAACATCTTTGCCCTTTTTGTCTTTCCTAGACTCCTCACTGCACACCTTCTCAACAATTTGACTCGGAAAGGCTTCATCTCTTCTCAAGAAAACATCATTGCATTGTTCTTTTTGAACCTTTTCTTGATCTTGAAGAGTTGATAGGCGACTCACCTGTTGTGAAAGTTGGCTTATTTGGCTTTCCATGAGCTTACTATGGGCTTGCAACTGTTGGATGGAGCTACCTTGTTGTTGGATGGCACTATTGGTTGTGGTAATGAAGCTCTCCATCATCAACTCAAGGCTAGATTTTTGGGAAAGTAGTTGCGTTGGTTGTTGGTTCATAGGTGTTCTTTGTTGGAAACTGGGTGGTGAGTTGTAGTTGTTGGATAGGGATGGTTGTGATGGTGGATTCTGTTGTCCTTGGGTGTTCTTATAAGAGAAGTTGAGATGTTGTTTCCAACCTTCGTTGTAAGAATTGGAGTAGGGATCAAAAGGTTGTTTGGGGTTCGAAGAGTAGAAAGCATTGGCTTGTTCAATAGACATCTCACTCATATTCTGCGGGCAATCCGGTGCGATGTGGCCCTGCACATTGCACATTTGACATACCTCTAGTGGGCTAGTAGAAGTTCCAGATTGGAACTTATCAAACCTGCTTGTTAGTGCCTGCACAGAACTGGTTAACATAGTCAAAGCATCTACATCAAGTTTACCTCCTTTTTTCACATTCTGACGACCTCCTGGATTATAATTATCATTGGCCGCCATCTTCTTAATCAGCTCCTTTGCCTCAGTTGGGTTCTTTGTCAAGAGAGAACCCCTTGATGCAGCATCAATGTAGATTCGGAACTCATGGGTTAGGCCATTATAGAAGGTTTGAATCAACAGCCACTTTGGGATACCGTGATGAGGGCATTGTCTCTGTAACCTCTTGAACCTTCTCCAAGCCTCATAGAGAGACTCGTCATCTGACTGTCGGAAGGTGGATAGCTCGTTCCTCAACTTGGCAGTCTTCTCATGTCCCAAAAACTTCACTAAGAAGGCCTTCACTAGCTTTTCCCATGTATCGAACGAGCTAGTGCCTTCATATCTCAACCACTCTTTCGCCCTATCTCGTAGTGAAAAAGGGAAAAGGCGAAGTCTGATAGCATCATCTGTAACACCATTCATTTTCATAGTATCACATTTCTCCAAGAAACTATCAATATGATTTACTGGGCAATCATGTGGTAGCCCTGCGAATGAATCATTGGAGATGAATTGGATGAATTGCGGCTTGAGCTCAAAGTGCTGAGCTGTTACAGGTGGTCTTATGATGCTAGAAAGGACTCCGGTAGTCGTATCAGGAATACCGTACTCCAAAAGGGATTTCGTTGGTTGGTCTACCCAGTTTCTCCTACGTCGATTTCTTGTTCTCCTTCTTCTTATAGTTGCCTCGATCTCAGAATCAAATGGTTCAAGATCTTCTGAACCTGAGCGTCGTGTGGGCATGCACAAGAAAAACTAGAGAAAAAGTATCAAAAACACAAGAGAGAATAGACGAAGCAACGAAATAAGCTTAGCAAAAACGAATCACAAATAATTAGATGAAAATCGTTAGTCCCCGGCAACGGCGCCAAAATTTGGTAGGCGGTCGCACACCTAGAAAAAATAACCTAACTAACCACTACTAAGTAGACTGGCAAGTAAGGTTCGAATCCCAAGAGACTATGGTTCACCAATAACTATTTAGACTCAAGTAATTACTAAGCAGAATTCAACAATGATCGATCAACTAAAGAACTGATGTATGAAAAATTCGAAAATAAACTAAAGAATATGAAGAAATCAAATAATTAAAACATCCAAGATCAAGTATCACCACAATTACGAATGATGCAATTATATTTCTACCCCTAACATACAATTCCAATTGAATGGGGAAAAGTAAACCCTAATCAATACCAAGGACCTCTCTCGAGTATCAATGCCTTCTCTAACATACAATCAAGCCTATTCTCATGGTATCATGCATATTAGAGACATTAAACACATTACTCTCACTTCCCAATCATCAACCCAACTATTCTCACGTTGAAAATCAAACCCTAAATTGATCTACTCAAATCCGTTTAAATCCAACTCACATTGTGATAGAAACAATGGAATAATCACAATACTAAGATTACGTCTAACCTAGTATTGGCATAATCACAATCAAATTAGCATAGCAATTGTAAAAGTCATTAGAGAATTTAAAGTTTTAATTCATGCATCAATCATAATTGGGCTACCCTAGATCTTGGAATAGGAAATCTACTCACTCATAATGAAATAAACAATAGCAATCATAATTATAGAAAACATAATTGAAAAGCAAAAATAATTGAAAAAAAAATGAAATAGAAATAAATACCAAAGATTCTTCAATTGAAAGGAATTAAATTGTTGAGGATCAATGCTCAAATCTAATGGAAAGAATTACAATTGTTTCAAAATAAAAAACTAGAACTCTAGAGAGAGAAAGAGGACTAAAGGAAAAATTAAAACTCCTTTCTAATGAAGATTACAAGGGGTATTTATACCCTTAATGACCTAAAAATAAGAAAATAATAATATGGAGTGTCGCATAACTGTGCCTGGTCCAACCGGGCAAGCACCTCCCGATCGGGCGGTGAGAGTACGGAGTTGCTTTCCTTCGTAGCACTTCTTCCACCACGTGCCCGGTCCAACCAGGCGAACCTTGCCCGATCGGGCGCGTGGGGCGGTCTTCATAAATTGCTTGCTACCTTCGAAAATACCAAAAATCATCTAACTCCTATGTGCCCGGTCCAACCGGGCGGACCATGCCCGATCGGGCACGTAGAGGCTGCAGCAAATAGTTTGTATTTAACTCATCTTAAATCAGTCATAACTTCATATCCGGAGCTCCGTTTGAGGCGTGTAATATATCGTTGGAAAGGACTTCAAGTCTACTTTCCAATAAAATTTGAATCACTCCATTATAATTTTTATATCAAAAGTTATGAGCATAATAGTGAACAGGTTTCATACTTGTCAAGTATTTCATCAACGTTTTGCTTCATTTTCACTCAAGTTCGTCTTAAACACATGTTTTGATATTCTTAAGCAATATGTTTTCATACTCCATGATTATTATACTCAAGATTAGCTAACCATACTCCATTTGCATATAAATCACCTGAAATTCATCAAAACACACAAACGAAGAGTAGTAGAGCACAACTTAAGAAAATAATGCAAATTTGCACTAAAGATCTCTAATTTTGTAATCAAATGAGCTTAGATGCCCACCTAAAACATGTGCAAAATATGACCTATCAATTATGAAGAAACATTTTCGCCAGTCGCAATGCTTAAGTCCGTTCGGATTATCCTAGCGATTGCTGCATATTATGATTATGAAATATGGCAAATGGATGTCAAAACCGCCTTCCTTAATAGGTTAGTGGGAGTTTGGTTTTATCAAGAATCTAGATGAGTCTGCGATTTCATGAAGCCATTAGTAAGTTTGTTTTTATCAAGGTTCCAGATGTGTCTTGTCTTTACAAGAAGATCAGTGGGAGTGACATCGCAATCCTAGTCTTATATGTCGATGACATATTACTCATTGGAAACAACACTAAACTGTTAGAGTCCGTAAAGGGTTGGCTTGGTAAGTGCTTTTCAATGAAGGACTTGGGAGAGGCACAGTACATATTGAGCATCAAGATCTATAGAAATAGATATAAAAAAGATGATTAGATTGAGCCAAATTACTTATATTGATAAGGTACTAGCACGATTCAACATGGAAGGAGCCAAGAGAGGGCACCTACCCATATCACATGGCATAACTCTCAGCAAGAAGCAGTGTCCACAGACACCTGATGAGCGAGAGAAGATGAGTCAGATTTCATATGCTTCGCTTATTGGATCGTTCATGTATGCCATGATATGTACTAGGCCAAATGCATCGTATGCCTTGAGTGCTACGAGCCGATACCAATCCTAAAGTACCTGAAAAGGAATAAGGATAAGTTTCTGGTCCATGGTAGCTGTAATGATTTGGTTGTTGAAGGTTATACTGACGCGAGCTTCCAAACTGACAAAGACGAATCCAAGTCGCAGTCAGGGTACATATTCTACCTAAATGGAGGAGCGTTTAGTTAGAAGAGTGCTAAGCAAAGCACCACTGTAGATTCTACAACTGAAGTCGAACATTGGCAGCTTCGGAAGCAGCTAAGGAGGCAGTTTGGATTCGTAAGTTCATTAGTGAACTTGGTGTTGTACCCTCCATCAAGGGTCCGATAGACCTCTATTGTGATAACAATGGAGCTACTGCTTAGGCCAGGGAGCAAAGGGAACACCAGAAGGTCAAACATGTTAAGCAGCGATTTCACATGATAAGGGAATGGAAGTCCGAGGGTGAAATCAGAATTTGTAAGATTGGAACGGACTACAATGTAGCCGATCCATTGACTAAACCTTTGCCTCAAGTGAAGCACAACAAGCACGTAGAGGCAATGGGAATCAAGCATGTGGGAGATTGGCTTTTATTTCCCTATCTATGTGTTTTAATTAAACTTGATGTCTTTGAAAGGAAAGGTGTCCTTCCAACAAGTGTATTATTCTGATAGAGGGTTCAGAATTATCGGAAATCTAATTCTTCAGTAAGGTCAAGTGATCGGAATGTCTAGGTGGAGGCCGCTTCCGATCAGCAATATTAATGTACAATTAATATTACAGCTTAATCTTGACTGAACCCTTTGGGTCGAACCCAATCGAACAACCGATCTGAGACGATGAATCAATCCGAAGGATTTTGATGAGTCATTGGAGTTTTACGAACAAAGATGTCGGATATCGAGCTTAGAGCGTCGAGATCGAGCGTCGCAAGTCGAGTTGAATTTAGAATTCGACGAGACGCAAAATCAATCGAGTTACAAGTACGAGCCTAGCCGTAGCCTCGTATTAGCCTAGCCATGTGAGTGCTAGGC